CAGCAAGGTCAGCCATCTGATCGGTGATACAGACGGCGGCCTGACCGAGCACACTGGGTTCTCCCAGACCTTAGCGAAGCATCACGCTCACTACCCGAAGACCGTGACTAAGTCAACACACTTAAGATGAAATGCAAGGAACACGGAATCACCGAAATAATTGCCTTAAACAGGCAAAGCCCTCACGTGAGAGGAGCACAATTATTATGCCAAATTGTTCAGAAAGGCAGTGTTTCAATCGAGAAACAAGGTGCAATCATTGTCGAGAACAGCTTACTCAACATTGACAACTTCCATCATGTTGGTGGCACCAGCAGTGTTCTCCTTGATACCGTGAACGGCAACAACCTTATCACCAACCTTCACGAGGCCAACAGACTTGGCGTACTCGAGGGCCTTGGCAATGACAGTCTCGGTATCCTTAAGGGACTCAACCTGGAAGGGGAGGATACCACGAGCCACAGCGGTGTGGGCAACAGCGTGCTTGTTATCGGTGACGCACAAGATCTGCTGACGAGGACGGTACTTGCCCAAAAGACGAGAAGTAGAACCAGTCTGGCTGAGGGCGAGAATAAGAGAGGCGTCGACCTCAGAGGCGAGAGCAACAGCGTTGGAGCAGATCGACTCGGCGACAGGAAGACCTTCGGGGTGCTGGTTCATGACAGCCTCACGAATGCGGAGGTAAAGGGAATCGTAGTCGATGACAGACTCGGCACTCTCGCAGATGCGGCGCTGGATCGAAATGGCGTTCACGGGGAACTTACCGTTGGCGGCCTCACCGGAGAGCATAACGCCATCGGTACCATCGAGAACAGCATCAGCAACATCACTGACCTCAGCACGAGTAGGTCTGGGGTTCTCGATCATGGACTCGAGCATCTGAGTGGCGGTGATGACGGGCTTGCCAGCGAGGTTGCAGCGAGCAGTCATCATCTTCTGAGCGAGGAAGACCTTCTCAGGGGGCATCTCCATACCAAGATCACCACGAGCGATCATAATGGCATCGGAAGCCTCGAGGATATCATCGAAGTTCCTGAGACCCTCAGTGCTCTCGATCTTGGAGATGATCTGAACGTTCTTACCGGCCTCACCCATCAACTTACGGAGACCACGGATATCATCACCGTGCTGGACGAATGAAGCGGAGATGAAATCGATTCCGTTGGGAAGTCCCCAGTTGAGGATATCGTTGGCCTCCT